AGATTTACCTTTATTTTTTTTTTCTACTATAAAGGTTTTAATTAATTGATTTGCCCATAAAAATGAAAAAAATATATATTTTCACTTTTAATGATTGAATACAAAATTGGGTTTTTTCTTTTTTTAATATCATGTTTTTTTTAATATCCCAAGCACAAAATAGGAGAATATTTAATAATGAGTTTGTTTATATCTTAAGGGTATAAGTTAAGGGTATATTAAATACATCTTTTAGTTATAAATTTGTATTGAAAAAATAAAAGCTAATATTTAATTTATCAATTGTCTAATTAAATTCACTTGACACTAAAATTAATATCAATTTTTATGTTTTTCTATATACATTTATAATGAAAAAAAAAAAACTCTTTAACCTGTGCTCTAACAAAAATTAGAAAAATCTTTCAACAATTACATATTATCTTAAAAATGTAAAAATTATCTCAATTTTATCAAAACACCAATAATTTGACACATGTTATTTCTTCATATCTTTAAATTGTTAAGCATCTAACTAATAATATTGTTAGTAATAATATTGTTAGGGGTTCACATGTAAAAATAAAGTCTAATATCAAGGAAAAGATTATCATAAAGTAATTATATGTGTTGAGAATCATTAAAAGACTCATAAAATTTACATATAAAATTAGTTTATCTAATTTTAAAATGAACTCTGTAGCACATGAATAATGATAGTTGGAATCAATATATAATAACTATCCATTATGGTATTGGTTTCATATGAACCTACATGATTAATAGTTAAAAAAAATTTGTTCCAAAATTTTATTTTAAAATTTAGTCTTAATAACCATTACTCAAAGGATATTTAGTACTCATTTGGTGCAGTGAGAGGTTTTAATAGAAGTTCTGTTGAAAAAAAACTGTTGTAGAAGTGTTATTTTTGTAAATAAAAAGAAAAATAAAAATAAAATAAAATAATATGTTAATTTCATTAAAACCAAATGAGAAACTTTTGTAAAAGCACCAATTATGCTTATGACATTTACAATGAAATGGA